GAAGATGAGTGAGAGAGAGAGAGAAACGGGAAAATAAAGAGAGCTTGTGAGAGATGCTCACTAAATATTGATGGGTTAAATGAATGAAGGAATGAATGATTCTTTGGACTAAAGGAAGAGAATACCAAACATGAACATAAATAAGCTCTGGAAGCTCCTTCTTATTTTGTTAATCAACTGGGAGGATTAGATGGGCTGGATGATGTAATGGCAGAGAGTCCTGCCTCCAGCAGGGGCCAGTGTGGCTGAGAACAAGGGTGCAGGAAGGAGCGGGGACCAGGGCACCCTGTGGGGAGAAGGCCAAACTTCCCCAGCCTGAGAGGCTGGACTCCCACTCTAGGCCCTTGTAGGGACAGTATGGAGAAGGAGAGGCCTTGAAGGGTGTCCTTAAGGCAGGGACTTTGGTGTTGCAGGAGCAGGCTTGATGAGGTCTGGAGAGATGGAGTGAACTTAGAATGAACTAATGGAATAGGGTGAGATAGGGAGAGACAGCCCAGAACAGTTGGCCCCTGGGGACCTAATGAGGGTTGGGGGAGAGAGCCACTATTCAGGTGGAGCCCCCACCTGGGGTATCTGCCCCAGGCCACAGTGGGCCGAGAAGCCCTCCAGAGTGTCACTGCCAAAGATGTCTTACTAAAGGGATAGGGCTCATGATTAGGGTTAGGGTTAGGTCCTGGGATGTGGGTTCTGGGGAGTCTGAAACTCCAGGGTGGGGTGTTCTGGATGTTCATCATGGGTAACCCTGGGAGAGAGTCTTTGAGGGTCAGAACACAGGGGATGGCCTAGGGCATTGGTGAAGTCATCCTGGAAAGGTCCTGGGGGTGGAGCCTTTGAGAAAGAACAACAAAATTGGAGGGATCAAAACACCAGATATCAAACTACACTACAATCCACTGTAATCAAAACAGCCTGGTGCTGGCACAAGAGCAGGCGTATTGACCAATAAAACAGAATAGAGAGCTCAGAAATCAACCCATGCTGTTATGGTCAATTAATATTTGACAAAGGAGACAAGTGTGGGGAGCCGCTATAGGGTTAAACTTGGGACTGACCTGTTGGCAAAGTCACAAACAAGTCCCAGCTTAGAGGGCACAGTCCTCTTAAGCATAATTAGGCTTGACCTTAGGACACTCCCTAGATCTTACCTGGGAAGCTAATGGGCTGAGGGAAGTGCAGCAAGAACAAAAACAAGTGGAACTCACAAGAACAGTGTAACCATGGAAACCACTACCTTGTTTAC